TAAACTGGTAATTAGACATTGAACTTCAGACCCTGTTAACAGGGTGCACATATTTTCTCAGCATCCGTGAAAATGAATAAAAAAAATCAATTCTATACCGGGCCAAAGGATCTCAAATTTCAAAAAGCAGAAATTACATTTCCATGAGGAAAATAGAACCTACACGATTTCAGATAATTTCCCATGCCCTGATAATTTAAAACCCTCAGCTTCATAATTACTGGGTCAAAGAATAAATCAAATACCCAGAGGTAATGCATAACCTTAAATACTTGTCTTTTTGAAAACACATGTTTTTGAAAAACATTACAAAATACTTGAGTTTAATTACAGGTATAGTCAATTCCATAAGCTATTTTTTTCCTGTTCAAGATTACTAAAGAACAAAACAAAAAAGGTGGAAATGAGCAGTCTATAGATCTGAGAGCAGGTTCTGTTGGGGTCTGGGGACCAGTGAGGAAACTGTCATGGAAAAGACATGTTTTAGTTGATAAATGACAGGACTTAGGTCCAGAGACTTGGCTATTAAGTGGTCATGGCGCAGACCCAGCTGCTTCTCTCTCTCTTTAAGCTCATGTCTAAGCTAAAGTGAGACTAAGGTGGGCCTGGTCTCACACACTGCACTGTTTGTCTTGGTAACCAACAACTAGTGTATTTGTGCTCGTACACATTGGGGGTTGGGTAACCAAGTGTAGGTGGTCCCGGGTCCCTCCTCACCTTTGAGCACGGAGCACAGGAAGTTACTGCTGACCCTTCCCCATGGAGGTAGGTGTCCCTGAACAGTTTTGTCTTAGGCAGAGGGTCTAGCTGTGACACCCACCACCTGGGATTTGTCCCAGGAGTCTCATAGCACTGGCCTAAGCCAAGCATGTCTTTGGACTTCATCCTAAACATAGCTGTTATTTCTCAACTTTTCTTCATCCTCCAAACACTGACATTTACAGTAAATGGAAGCACAACCTTGGACCTGGGATGCAATTATAGCTAAGCAGTTTTCTCTTTAATATTATCATTATTCTCATTTGATGGCCAGAGTGGTGTTCTAATGGGGGAAAATAGCAGCAAGAGCAGTAATACTTTAACAAAATTGGGTGATTTCCATGAATCGTCATTAGAGATTGGGATAGGGACAGGCAGCTCTGGAGGAGTCCCTATTTCAAGTTCTAGAAACTTCTTTTCATTCTTAAACTGACAAGATTTATTTACTCATGACTTTGAAAAGTTGCAAGTGCTTGCATAAGATCTGAGATGTGAGTTTTTTGCCTTACCATGTTAATGGAGTGAGAGACTGATCCTCACCACCCCCCCACCCCCCCACCCCATGGATCTCTTGGATTTCTGAGACAGATCCTACTGGGTTCCTATCTCTTACTCCTTCACCGCATTGCTGTGCTTGGTTTTCCAAAATGTTTGGACTTCTTGGGTCCATGTTAACTATTGGTGCTGACTTACACATTTTTCCTGTTCCATCTATGGATCAGACTGTATTAGCTTTGGGGAACAGGCAGCCCTCCATTTTCCTTTAGAAATTCTCTAGGAAATGGACATTTTCATCAGCTGGGGTTGCCACTGGGACAACAAAGTAACCTCGTGTATTCACAAAGAAATTAACACAGGTGAGATACCTGGGGACATTAAGAAATCAATAGGTCAGGACTGGAGAGTGCTCAGTGCTTAGGAATCTAGCAGAGGACCCAGATTTAGTTCCCAGCACCTATATCAGGAAGCATCTACCACCTGCCATGATGGGGTGATCCCTTTGAACTATAAGCCAGGATAAATCCCACCTCCTCTAATTGGTTCTTCTCAGGAGGTTTGGTCAAGGCAACATAAGAAGCAGTACACCCCAGTAGCTCCACACTTTAGTCTACATTTGGCCTTTAAGAATTCCTGCACATTTTCCCTATTTTTTTTCCTTAACCATCTCTATGATTCTATACCAAGAGTAAAGATAGGTTATGTTTGTCTCCTCCAAGAGCCGTAGCACTCACTCTTTGGAATCTAATTCCAACAAATTCTTTAGTGATATTAGTTCTCTTACTAGCTCAGGGGAAAAAGCTAGGATCATAGAGATCTTTGGCTTCTAGACTGGGGATTAATATTCTTTTGATTTCCTATATTGTAAACAAAACAGGGCCTTGTCCCCAAAATATTTCCTGGTTTTCACCATGAGTTTGTATTTTAACCCATGGATTACATTATAAGTGAGTCTCTGCGCTTCCAAATAACAGAATGATTTTTCAATATTTTTTATTGATCTCCACTCAATTTAACTGGAGCTCATTCAGTACAATTTGGCTTTCTATTTGATTTGTTTGACTTTTTCTTTTGCTTGAAAAGATCTTCTGTATACTATTATGTATGTATGTACACATTTATTAATTGTGGCGATCAAAATCAATATCATTGGTGATTGTACTTTTCCATCAATTGTTAGGGAGGTGTAATAATGACCCAACACACTTAGGGATTTGTCTCTTTCACCTTGAGCTACAAAGTCTGGTTGCTGTCATCCAAGGTGAGGTTGTGATATACATTAGAGGCCAACAACTGATTTCGAAGTGACTATTCAATACTGTTTCTTGGCTCGCATTGTCTTCCTGGCGTGTGGGTGGATGCTAGCTGTGGCTCAACTGGTGTCTTTTTCACTTAAACTTTTCTGTATCGTGTTTTGGACACACTATTTGTGTGTCTACATTTTCTCTAAGGCCTCACAGTATCTTTTGGAAGATTTAAAGAATTTTCATGTGGGAACATCTGTGTGTTCCCACATGAAAATTCCCTGTGCCTTCCAGCCTGCCAGAGAGGGAAAAGCCTTGTCAACAAGAGGGTTTCTTTGGGGCAAAAACCCTGAAGTAAGCCATCTTTGATCAAAAGGTAATTGGGGTCTAGCCTGATCCAATCCTGGACCTTTTTCAAAGCTATCTACCTATGTAAGGATTAGCTATCTCCTGTCTCCCTCACTTCTTACCTGGCTTGTTCACTGTCCTTTCTTACAGAACCCAGAACTGCCTTCCCAGGGGTAGTACAATGGGCTGTACCCTTCCACATCAATCATTAACGAAAAACCTCACAGGCCAATCTGATGAAAGCATTTTCTCATCCCAGATGACTCTAGCTTGTATCAAGTTCTCTGGTGGTAAGAATAGTCCCCATAGGCACATGTATTTGAATGCTTAGTCACCATGGAGTGGAACTCAAAGGATTAGGATTGAGGTGTGGCCTTGTTGGAAGTATCGCTGAGGGTGGACTTTGAGATTTTAAAAGTTCATGCTAGGCCCAGTCTCTCTCTCTCTCTCTCTCTCTCTCTGTCTCTCTCTCTCTCTCTCTCTCTCTCGATCAGAATGTAGCTCTCAACTACTTCTCCATCACCTGCTGCCTGCTGCCATGCTCCCCACCATGATGATAATGGACTAATCTTCTGAAGAGCTCAACAAGCCCCGGTTAAATGCTTTCTTCTATAAGAGTTGCCCTGGCTGTCCTGTCTCTTCACTGCAATAGACACTGATGGAAGCAAGTTCACAGGAACACTATCAAGCACTAACCACTACCATCAGCTTTGAAGGAAGAGGAAAGGACCAGGTGCTCAGACAAAGCCCTGCTGGATGGAGCATCATTATTAATGACCAGAGAAGCCACAACAAACCCAGGATACACCCGACTCACTCATTGTCCCCAAAAGGAAGACTCGAAAAGAGAACCAGCTTCACTGAGAAGCTGTAGCAGTTGTCCTTTGTGGTCCAGGGATGATGAGAGGTTGGAAGAAAGGGTTCATTTTAGGTTATAGTTCAGAAGGATGCAGTCCGTCTTAGTGAGGAAGACATGTAACATGTAGGGAAAGCTGGTGACAGGGCAGGGCGCTGGCTGGTCACACCGTATCTCACTAGGAAACACAGTGAACAGGAAGTGAGGCCTCACTGTAATGCCTCAAGCCCCCCACCCCCATTGACCCACTTCCTCCAGCAAGACTTTACCTCCCAAAGGTTCCACAACCTTCCCAAAACAGTGCCACTATCTGGAGACCAAGTGTTCAGATACATGAGTCTATGGGAAACATGTAATATTTAACCATGCTGTCTGTGGTTTACGCATGAAATGGCACTGAAAGAAACTCAAGGAGGCCGACAGCAAGTGAGCAAAGTGGAAAACTGCCCTCTTAATCAGTTTGAGCCAATGCCCACCTAAAGAAACCCACAATACCATAGCATATTTGTACTTTACTCCTCATGTTCTTCAGAGGCATCTGCGGATGCCCAAGGAGCCTGTACCTTGGGGAAGGGACGATGCTTGGTTGTTCTGGTTGGATGCAGGGGTAGTTATGTATGAATGCTCAAACCACTGACAGCCTGTCTATTAGAATAAGACCTGTGGTCAGTGGATCCAGAGGCTTGGAGCTGATCAGAGATTGAGAGAGGCCGAGCTTTGTGGTCAGTTCAGTTTCTGAATGTCTGAATGACTCTAACAGATTCAGAAGGGAAGCATACATTGTTGCCTTGATCTGTAAATCAAGTTGAGTTAAGGAAGTATGAAAGACGAAGGAGACGCCCACTAAGCTACAGCAGTGACCCAGTAGCAGACATTGTGTCTAGGTGGAACAAGAGAGAACACTTGTAATGCCTGGGGGGCGCTCACCAACCTAAGACAGAGAGCCTGTGTGGCCTGGGCAGGCGTCTCCATGACGGGTAAGGTGACCTGCTGAAGTCCCACGCAACCTAAGTCAGAAGCTCATTTACTAGTAAAAGGGGGACCTATAGGATCCTGTGCCTCCCCTCCCCTCCCCCCCCCTGTTTTGGGTAACTGTTGCCTTACTTGCTGACCTTGACCTTGATACCCTCCCTATGCTAATTCCCTGCTGGGTTCCACCCTCCTGAATGCTTAAGGGAAGTTCCTTGTCTGTGTATGCTGCATAATGGGCCTTAACAGTTTAGATGCAAGATTGTAAAACATCTATAGTGAACTTCTGCCCTCTGGGGTTCTCCCATTGTGCTGTAAGCCTGTACTTAAGACCTCCTCCCTCCTTCAATAAACGGCATTCGGCAAAAAATAAAAAAAAAAATTTAAAAAAAGGAATACTGTCCCCTCAAAATTGGAGTATGGATCTCCCTCAGTCACTTGCTCAGCTTGGCTCTGACACCAGCCAAATTCAATAACTATTGTTGATGATGATGGAAACAATGCAGGATCCCAGAGATGATTGTTATTCCAGAGGCTGTCAGAGGCTGCTGGCCTACAGACATGAATATGACTTTTTGTCCAAAGCTGTTGCATCAACCTTGGAGCCTTGGACATTTAGCTCTATCAAATATCCATGTCACATGAACCAACAGTTATCATTTGATGTGACCAGGAGATAGAATGTAGCTATTGTTCCAACATGAAAAACTAGGGGTGACTTTCCCTACTTCTTGGAAGGACCCACATGGGAAACTTAGTCTCACTGACATAGCCATCGAGATGTTTAGATTCTGCCGGGGAGAAGGAAAGAAGGGGTGCACATTTACCACGGGATGCAGACGAGCTCCACGAAAGTCAATACTGGAAGGTCATCTTGCATGAAACTAGCAAAGACAACAATGCTACACGATGGACTGGCGGTCGTCAAGAGCTAAGGCAGCTGCCACGTGAGTCCCAGCAGCGGATTTTCTGGGGTTCACTAGACAACACTTGGTGCCCCCATGGTAGGTGACCAATAGGGATTTGAGTAATCACAGTCTGGCAAAAACTTGCTAACCAATTCTCAGGGGAGGTCTTGAGGATAGGGATAATGTTGGGGTTCACCATCAAGCAAGTAATCCAGAGCCTACAAACGAAGGCTGAGATGAAAGAAGTCTAAAATAAGCACCGACAAACACAATGCTCTATCTTCTCAAAGCAATTACCCTTGATATTTAGGGAATGATCTCCGTTTAGGTATCACACCTGAGAAAGGAATGGCGGTAGTGTGGGTTGGAAAGATGTACAATGTGGGGGGAGGGCCTATGGAGCCAGATGCTAGTAAAGCTGGCCCCCAGGGAAAGTGTGGAGGGTGGAACCCACGTTGTTTTCAAAAAACTGATTGGAGCTTCAGGTCAAGAAAGATGTCAGTCCATGATTCCCTCATAGACAACACTGTAAATACTGTAGACTAGGTGTGTGATGGGTAACCTTTAAGCTGATTGGCCCAATGGGGCATTTGCCCCCACCCCACCCCACCCCTGTCTTGTTTGCTTTATGCTTTAAAAAGAGCTTGTTGTTTTTGAATAAATGAGTCCTTGCCTGACTGGGCTCCCTGCTGCGTCTGATTGTCTCCTGGGAAAAAGGGAGGCTGGGGAAACAGGTGAGCAGTGCAGTTACCTCTCCTGGGTTCCAGGTCTCCCTTCTGGGGGTGGGGGGGGACCTAAGTTCCCGATGGGGCAGGACCCCACAGTACAAGTTAGCCATTGAAGCAGTAAATCTCTGACTTGTGTATTACTACCAAGGGATCAAGTCCACCCATGATTCTCTTCACTCAGTTACCAGGTGAAGAAAACCTGACCTAGAGCAAGAAGACCCTGACAGATGCAGACCTTGAAGGAGACAGTGAACCTGAAGACTCCAGGCTAGGGGACATGCCAAGTAGGACCAAGCTGAAGTGAGCTAATGCTGTCTGCATAGAAAGCATGAGGATGATAGAGCCCAGCCTCGGTGATGTCCCCAGTCTTGTCCATTGCAAGCCTTCTTGTTTTGCTCCCTATGTCCTGGTCTGGCTAAAACTGCTGAAAGCAGTTTAGCTGTTGCTTTTCTTGGCCATGCTTTAGGAGTCTCCACCCAGATCTTTTCAGATTTGGCCCAACCAGGAAAGAGGCTGCTTACTGCCTCTCCTAGGGTCTGGGTATTTGATTTTGTTACCCTGTCCTCCAGCTTATTCTTTGCTTTGGGATGGACTGTAATCACCTACTGCTGTCCCCTTACCTCTGCTTCTAAAGTTTCCAGGAAAGGTCACACTTAGAGATTCTACAAGGAAGACTGAACCTCTGTGACTGGAAAACTGGAAGGCTGCAAGTCCAGAGCCAGATTACCTTTTGGCTACCTTCTCATGCATTGCTTACTCTTGTGTTTGATCTCCCATGTTTATGACTGCTACATAAATCTGTTTGGACTATAATAACCACAAACTTCCACTAACCAGAGGCTATGACAGTATCTGAGGTCTTTATTTCCCTGTTGTAGGTTTTTTTAACTCTTTGGGGAACCCATCACCCAGCTCCCAAATAAATCACACGGAGTCTTATTGTCACTTATGAATGCCCATCCTTAGCTTGTTTCTTGTCAGCTTTTCTTAACTTATCCCATCTACCTTATGCCTCTGGACTTTTACTTTCTCTATTTTATGTACCTTTTCTTTACTTCTTACTCCATGGCTTGCTGTGTAGCTGGGTGGCTGGCCCCTGAAGTCCTCCTCCTTCTTCTTTTGCTCCTAGATCTCTTTCTCCTATTTATTCTGTCTGCCAACCCCACCTATCCTTTATCCTGCCTTGATATTGGCCATTCAGCTCTTTATTAGACCAATCAGGTGTTTTAGACAGGCAAAGTAACACAGCTTTACAGAGTTAAATGCAACACATCTTTGCATCATTAAACAAATATTCCACAGCATAAATGAATGAAACACGGGCTGGAGAGATGGCTCCAAGGTTAAGAGCATTGACTGTTCTTCCAGAGGTCCTGAGTTCAATTCCCAGCACCCACATGGTGGCTCACAACCATCTGTAATGAGATTTGGCACCCTCTTCTGTATACATAATAAATAAATAAATCTTTTAAAAAAATGAATGAAACACATCTTAAAATAATATTCCACAACACCCTGCTATGCTATGACTTGCCCTCCTGGTGTTTCCATCACTAACTTGATTTTTATGACTTTCCCTTTTATAAAGCATACAACTCCATGTAACTATCACCATGCTGGAACACTGGATCTGTGGTCCCAAGCCAAGGTCACTCATCTAACTTCAGAATAAGCTCTCATTCCTTTTGAGGTGAAAACTGGTTTTGCTTTGACAATTTTGGGCACCTGAGGTCAGCTGCAAAAATGCTCCACTTTTGTGTTGATGTTGCTGAACTCCTGGGCTTTAGACCTCCAGTACTGATTTATTCTGGGGTGGTTACCTGGATCCAAATTGTCCTAATGTATTGTTTCAAAGCACTCATTTTAAGATAAACACTTTAATTTTTAAAAATTGTTTGACAGCTTCCTACACACCCGTAGTCACATCCACCTCCGTTCCCTTCTCTCATCCCCTTCTCCAGCGGGCACACTTCTCAACAAGTCCCCTCCTACGTTCACGTCATCTTTTGTGTATGTGGCTCTCTGAATTTAGTTACTTGCCTGAACATGATGGGAGGTTATTCATCTGACCAGGAGCGACTTACTTGTGGTTACACCACCAAGGAAAATGACTCTTCCCCACAGGTGTTAAATGGTAACAGTCCCCTGGACTCCCCATCCATGTGAAATGGTGACAGGCCCAATCTTGTGCAAATTTTGTGCAGATAACCACAGCTACAAGTGAGTGCATGGCCATGTCATGTCCAGAGGTGTCTTTCTGCTGCACAGCTCCTGTCCTCTGGCTGTTACATCCTTCTGCCCCTCTTATGTTCACTGAGCCTTAAGATGGAGGGGAGCTGAGTGCTCCACCAACACTTAGTCTTGGCTCTTCGTCTATATACCTTCAGTTTCTATTTTCAGAATTTTCATATTCTTACTTTCCCTATTGTTCCTCTACTATCTAACTCTGCATTTTTCTGTCACTTCTGCTTATTGCAGCTTTTGATGCCTTAGTTTAGGAATTGTATTGTGCCTTATTATAAAGACACAGAAGACAAGAGGCACTCATTTGCTCCAACTCAGCAGGCTGGAGAACACCCCATGATGTATGTAGCCACCTCACAGGGAAGCCAAACAGAACTTATCCCATTTCTGCTTGGGATATTTCATTGGATCAGCCAGGAAGGCACATACAAATAAGGGCTGGTCAACCAGAGTCTCAAGCCCTCTTGTGTCCTCCTAGGCACGTAAGGCAAGCTGGAGGTGCAGTGGGAAGAACAGACCACGGGGAGCCACTCTGAAAAGAGTTACAAAGCACTGACCTGAAGCATAGATCTCTAGCTCACACTGGGAGGCTTCATCTTTAGGAGAAATTGGGAAGCAGAGATGCAAGAAAGCAGGAAATGTTTGGAGAAAAATCCTGCCATTTTGTGCCCCAGCTGCTTTTATGTTTGATAATTACCATAGTTTAACTTCAAGTATTTGGGAAAGTGGAGGGAACCTAATTAAAGACATTTTGGCTTCACTGGTTTTCTCAATGGGTAATATTTGATATTCCTAAAGTGGCTTATGTTCTAGCCAATAGAACTAAAGATCATGAATGGGCAATCTACTATAACTGGAATTTTATGTGTGTATGACTGCATGCATGGATGTGAACTATATGCATGCAGTACTCACAGAGGCCAGAAGAGGGCATCAAACCCCTGTTTCAGACGCTTGTGAGCCATCATGTAGATGTTGGGAACTGAACCTGGGTCCTCGGCAAGAGCAGCAAATGCTCTTAACAGCTAAGTCATCTCTTTAGCCCCTACAGTTGGGTTTAAACACACAAATAAAGGATAAACTGGATAGTATTCTAAAATTTTTCAAAACTATAGGTTAAAAGGAAATATTAAATAGGAAATTAATAAAAGTGTAGAGGTTATAGAGCCAAAATTCTGAAGAATAACCTTTTCAACACTCTATACTCCATCTTTCTCTGACCTTGACTCTTCGTGTTTTCTCTCAAAGCAAAACAAAGTTATGTGTTGAAGGGAAAAATAGTCATGGTTTGCGTCTTTTGTATTGTTGTGATAAGAAACCATGACCAAGGCAGCTTGTAGAAGAAAGTTTAGACAGAGTCCATGGCCATCATAGTGGGGAGCATGGCAGCAGGCAGGCAGGGATGGTTCTGGAGCAGTAGCTGAGAGCTTACATCCTGATCCACAGAATGAAGCAGAGAACTCTTACCAGGGAATGGTGTGGGCTTTTGAAACCTCAAAGCCCTCCCCCAATGACACAGCTCCTCCAACAAGGCCACACCCCCTAAACCTTCCCAAACAGTTCCACCAGCTGTGGACTAAGCAATCAAATAGGAGCCTGTGGGTGCCATTCTTACCTGAACCACCATGGGGAAGCTGTTGCATGCTGTATCTACTCCCTAAAAGAAAGAAGAAAGAAAGAAAGAAAGAAAGAAAGAAAGAAAGAAAGAAAGAAAGAAAGAAAGAAAGAAAGAAAGAAAGAAAGGAAAGAAAGGAAAGAAAGAAAGAAAGAAAGAAAGAAAGAAAGAAAGAAAGAAAGAAAGAAAGAAAGAAAGAAAGAAAGAAGAAAGAAAGAAAGAAAAAGAAAAAAGAAAAAAAACTGGACTAAAAACTTTGTGGTGTTTTCTGGGTCCTATTAAAACTCTCTAGGAATTGTTTTTTAATTCAGGCCATCCTATGAGCCTATAAAAATATAATTTTCTGATTTTATCAGATGTCTATCCATGGAGGTGGAGAGAGAGAGAGAGAGCGCTCAGAAATTGAGAGTACTTGCTCCTCTTGCAGAGGATTGGACTTTGGTTTTCAGTACCCATACTGAGTGGCTCACAACCACCTGCAACTCCACTCTAGGGAAATAAGATATAATAAATTATTGGATAAAATGGTCAGATTTTTCTAGCTGCCCATGTTTCCTGCCACAGAGCAACCTGTCCTGGTGACCAGTTGCCCTGCCCTGTGATAGCTGTGGAGCTGGATATACAAGCATCTGTGACCCGACCATGCCTGTCAGCCACATGAATTCCAGTCTCGGGGGCAAGTTGGTGGAATTAAGTAGTATTTACATCATATAGAACTTATCAGGAATAGAAGGCTTCAAGCTTTCTGACTATCTTATAATAACTTCCACCCTATTCTCAAATGAGATAAAGGTTTAGGAATGACTTTTTATCTAAACTGTATGAAAACAATCAGCTTCCAATGTCAATAAATTCATGGTTGATTCATCAAAACTGACCCAACTGATAGAACCAGAAGAGCTTCCCAGAGGTATAGGTACTGCACTAGAAATCTGGGAATACACAAAATTTGCAGAGAGAGCTGGAATGCTGCAAGTCCAGAGCCTAATTATCTTGGCTCTCTATCACTGCCCACTTCTATGTTTGACCTGGCATTGTGGCTACTAGGTAAATCCTTTTGGAGAGTACAAACAAGTCCACAAGCTTCTACCAGCCCAAAGGCTAAGGAATGCCATCAGATAGCATTGAAGCCTATAGTAGATTGTTCAGCCTTGTTTTAACCCACTTACACAGTATCTCCAATGTGTTCTAAAGTGCTCGTTGAGGAATTTCTTCATTCTGTTACATGGAACATAGTATTTGGAGAAACCTGAGCATGTTCCTGGGTCATAGTTTATTCTAGGGCTGAATATGAGTGTCATCTCTTATTCCCTTTACCGTGAAAAGCATGTTTTTGTGTTGTTAGCTAAAATGTCTGAAGTTTAAGGGTTAATAGTGAAGGGGAAGGGTCACCCCAAAGCTCAAGAGTAAAGGGCCATCAAAACAGATATGGCGCCGGAGAGAGGGCTCAGCCTGTAAGAACACTTGCTGGTCTTCGAGGACCGGAGTTCAATTCCCAACCCACGTGGAACAGTTACAAGCTCCTGTAGCTCCAGCTCCAGGGGACCCTACACCCTCTTCTGTCCCCTGCAGGCACTGCACTCATATGCACAAACCACCCCCACCCTATAGACACGTGATTAAAAATAGAATTTAAAGGTGAGATTTTAAAAAGCAAATATAGTAAAACTCAGATGAATCATGGTTAACAAATTTGATGGGACACATTTAAAGTCTGCTTCTCATGATTGGATGCACCGCAGTCAATGGACTGATCTGAACAAACTGAGACAGGGGCATGGCTGTATGTATTTTTTGTTATTATCAAACCCTCTAAAATGAAAATACATTAGTTATGTGCATGAAAATGTTTTATTTTCTAAAGTATACCTTTAAAAACAGCAATCAGCACTTTTAAAAGTTCTCTAAGCTTATTTTACTGTATTCTTAGTATTAGGCATTGTCATAGCTGACAAGGTTTAGAAACTGGTAACCCCAAAGGACAGAATGAAACTACAGTTCCATCCACCTGTGAATGAGATAGTTTATTCCATTTTAAGTGACCACGGCCCAGGAACACAGATTTAGGTTACCCCAAATTCCATGTTCCAACTTGGAAGCAGTTTCATAGTTTTACGGAACAAAGAAAATCACAAATCAAGGCAAGTTTAAAACACATTGGTGGAAACATCAGAGGCGGGTACAGTGAGATGTGGGAGCTTTTCTGCAGGCCTGGGATGCTACCTGATGACATCTTAGCAGAAAACTAGCTTCTACCAACCCAGAAGCTATGTTAGTTCCAATACAGAGGTGGGGAGCATTGGCTGTTTAGCCTCTGGCTCCACAGCGTTCCAGTCTCCCCACAGTGTTGAAGTTCTGACGGGCCGGTCACTTGCTGACAGAGCCTCCATTCAGGAATCTTCATTCATAGGCAGGTGCAACTTCCTTTCACAAGGGTTTGCTTATACATCCACCACACAAAGTTCCCGAATCTTCTGGAAAGTTCTCACCCCCTGTCATTCACTTGTTGCAAACTGATTAGATCGCATTTCTATATTTTTTAAACCAATTTGTCCTTCTGAGATTGAAAGATTTGAAGGTGCACAAAACACTCTGACATTAGCATGCTAACTGAAGACATTCTACACAATTTCCAGGGTGAACAGTCCCCAGTGGAAGCATCTCAAACCTGCTGTCGTACACAGTCCAGGTTAGCTAATGGAGAGCACTTGACCTTCTGCAAACACATGCATGCATAGCATGTCTTTTAAAAACTTTAATGTTTTAAATTATAGGCATGCATGTGTAGAGGAGGTATGTTCATGAGTGCAGGTGACTGGAATCCAGAAGGATGACTTCATATTCCCCTGGAGCTGGAGTTATAGGCAGTTGTTAGCCAGCTCATGTAGGTGCTGGGAACACACCAAGTTCCTCTGAAAGAAAAGCAAGTGCTCTTAACCCCTGAGCAATCTCTCCAGGCCCAGTCCAGGGCATCGAAATATTTTATGTTGCTTTTTCAATGAGATTGTAGTGAAAAATATTCATGGTATAGACATTTGTTAGTTCTAATAGCAAGGTCTTTTTTTTTTTAATCAACTTTGTTCCATCAATAGTGTACAGATTTCTAGCTTTAACCTGAACACCCCTTGCTTAGGAATAATATAATGGGAGAATTCCATCTCCAATGTAGCTGGAAGCTCACCCTGATATCAACATTGGTTCAACTTATATTTTTCATGAAGGGTCATCTCATGTTGAATATTGCTGACAGAAGTAATTCAGAGCATGTATCATTTTTGAAATGGAATCTGGAGATACCACCATCTGAAGCATGTTGAAAACATTTATACTTTCCTCCAGCTGCAGAGCAGCCTTCCACACCATGTAATTTGTTCTAAGCCGTTTCTTCCACTCTTCATTCTTTTCCGTGTATCTGCCAGAAGGATCTGCTGATAGGGTTAGGCCCTTTGTCTCCAGGGGGTCCCAGCAGTTTATATCCTAGCTGGAAGGGATCGCATGCTTCCCCAGTGGTAAATGGATTTTTATCTTTCACTACTAAACATTTATTAAGTTTAGTGAAATCTTTAACAGCACTGGAGTAAGAACTGCAGAATTGCAGACACTTCTGCTCTGGACGCTGAGTATGAACTTACTAGAATTAGCAATACTTCAAAATTGTGGTTAACATAGCAAGACACCACCCATACCCAGGAAAGAAAAACGATCTGTATTGTTAATGGCAAGTTATGCTGTAACAGGCTTGATAATCTCAATTACTCTTTCGGCAGATTGCTTGGGAGAATTGATTTGTTTTACAATGGCCACATTATGAAGTAAAACTATATGAGGAATAGAAATAAGCTCTTCGATTATTCTGAATGTAGGGCTTAAAAGAGGGACACAGCTGGATTAAAAAGGATGAGAACTTTTTAGACCGGTTACTAATGCCATGGGCAAACAGACAACAGCACAGCAGAGGCCCTGAGGGGAAGTTCATGCTCCAGCACCAGAGGCAGCAGCAAGACCAGGGCTTTGAGGAGGATCACACCTCCCTCTCCCTCGGGGCTGTTAGGTTCCCTATTGCCTCTGAGGAAGGAAGGCTTCCAGCAGTGCCTGTGCAGGCCCTGAGAAGCGGCAGGGATGGGGAAGGGTGTGTGACCACTAGCAAGCACTCAGAAACTCACTCCCCTGGGCGGGAAGTCCGAGCTCCATAGGCTAACTTGTACTCTAACACCCAGCTATAAGGTGGTAGCAAATACAGGGCATTCCCACTCCTAAGTGAGAAGTCGCCAGTATTTTCTAAATACCTTAAATGGATAGACCTGCAGAACTGAAGAAATGTCTACCAAGTGCATTAGACATGTGGGTACTTGAAATCATCATAATAACTTTATAATGTTTCTGAGGCCAGCAAGATGACTCAGTAAGTAAAGGCGCTTGGGCAGCTTGGTTTTTATTCTTGGGATCTACATGGTGGAAGGAGAGAACTGACTCTCACAGACATGCCTGACACACACACACACACACTCACACACACACACACACACACACACACACATTGCTGTGGGATGTCCTGTATGCTGTAAATATATGTTGCTATGATTGATTGATAAATAAAACACTGACTGGCCAATAGCCAGGCAGGAAGGATAGTGTAGGTGGGACAAAGAGGAGGAGAATTCTGGGAGGTGGAAGGCTGAGAGAGGAAGACACTGCCAGCAGGCACGAGGAGAAGCATGATGTAAAATACGGTAAGCCACGAGCCACATGGCAAGGTATAGATTTATAGAAATGGGTTAATTTAAGATATAAGAACAGATAGCAAGAAGCCCGCAATGGCCATACAGTTTATAAGTAATATAAGTCTCTGTGTGTTTACTTGGGGGACGCAAGTGGGAGAGATTTGTCCTAACCGTGGGCCAGGCAGGACCAGGAAAACTTTAGCTACACACACACATATACACAGTAACAAAAATGTAATTTCAAAATATTCTTATTTAAAACTCAATGATGTGCTATAGTTGTGGTCTGTGTGCACGCACAGGCTCACACATGCCGTGGAACACGTGGAAGTCAGCAGACCAACTTTCCGGAGTCCATCCTCACCTTCCACTTTGTCGAGATGGGGTCTCCTGTTTATCCACCTCTTCACTCCAAACTAGCTGGCCCATGGTCTTCCAGTGACTTCTCTGGTCCCTGCCTCCCACCTTGCTATGGAATGCTGGGATTGAGATGGATGCCATTGTGTCCAGCTTTTGGTGGATTCTCGCCACTGAACTTAGATCATCAGGCTTGAGTGGAAAGTGCTTTTACCCACTGAGAGATAAACAGCAGCTTCTTCACAGCATTTTCACTACACTTAGATTGTTTTTGGTTGGTTTTTCTCTCCCATCCCTGCCTGTCCCCTCACTGCTCACTATTCATTAGCATCATCACTACCAACAAACGCGGGAGTCCCCCACGTTTCCAGAGCTCATCCAGAATCAGACACAGTGGCAGGAATGTTGCCTCCAAGTCACCTCGACCCATTTGTGTGGTGCAAATGGCAGCCTGCACTCCTGCCCCTCCGTTGACCCTATGTTTGTGTTGTGTGCAGTATAACTCAGTCTGTAACGGGCTTGCTTACACAGAAGTGTCTATAGTCTATAGCAGACGTGTAGCGCCCCTCCAGAAACAATCACTGAACGGTGTCACTGCATGGTCACTCCTTCGCCCATCCAGTCAGGTGACCCCAGCAGAGTTTTGAACCAAAGTTGATTAAGGCCTTTGATGGTTCACTGGCTTCACCACAGCACACTCTGTAGTTAAAATGAGACAACTAAAAAGGAACACCAAATTTGCTGCAAAGATTCCCAACTGATTTAACTCCATTTCTCCTAAAAAACAAGAGTTTTAGGGGAAACTGTGGTAGGTAGATAGATAGGTAGGTAGATGCTAGTTATCCCCTAGGCCCTGAAGTGCTGGCTGTATGCTGCTTCACCCAGGGCTCACTCTAGCGAGTAGTCACTAGTTTAGTAAGGTCAGGTGATGAACCAGCCATCTTTGGTAACCTGCCAAGGCTCCCAGTGGTGGGATCGGGACACCTACCAAGCCACAAAACCTTGGACCCACAGTGCCCTGCCTGCTAGATGTGCTGGGGTAATGGTGACTCAGAGCTTCTGAGAGTGGCCGACCAATGACTTGTGGCCTGAACCTCAAGTTAGATGAGAGGGAGCCCATGCCTGACACTGCCTGGGTGGCCAGGAACCTCAAGCTGTATGGTCCAGAGACCTTAGATAGAACCAGGTAGACTGACCAAAAAAAGTCAATAAAATGATTCCTAATGATATTCTGCTATACCCATAGGTTGGCTGTGGGTCTCTGCATCTGCTCCCATCAGCTGCCTGAGGAAGCCTCTCTGATGGTGAATGGGGTAGGCACCAAACATTAGGTGGAGTCTGGGGAATCACATGAAAGGAGGGAGGAAGGATTGTAAGAGCCAGAGGGATTGAGGACACCAGGAGAACAGGGCCCACAGAATCAACTAAGCAGGGATAATGGCGCTCACAGAGACTAAAGCTGTTTCACAGAGCCACCATGGGTCTGTGTTAGGCCCTCTGCATACATGCTGTGGTTGTTCAGGTTGGGGTATTTGTGGGCCTCCTAGTGGGAGGGAAGGTGTCTTTGACTCCTCTGCTTGCTCTTGGGACTCTTTTCCTCCTACTGCCTTGTCCAGTGTTGGTCTGAGGGTATGTGCCTTGTCTTATTGCATCTGGTTATGCAGTGTTCAGTTGATATCGCTAGAAAGCCTGCTGTTTCCTGAAGGGAAACAAAGGAGTAGTGGATCTGGGGAAGAGGGGAGGTGGGGGCAGGACTGGGAGGAGTAGAGGTAGGAGAGCCTGTGGTCGGGATGTATTGTATGAGACAATAAATAATTTTTTAAAGGTCAGGTGATGGATATAGATACTCTGCTTCTGCCTGTCCCTCTTTCAATTAATCTGTCCCCTAGAATCCTGGATCTTACCCAGATTTAGATAATCAGAGGGAAACATGAGAATCAGTGAGGTTGTATTATTGTAGAGTGAAGTTTTCCATCAGGAGAGGCAATTATTACAGATGCTAAAAGGATAAAGGTGTGTTGCGGGGGGAGCTGGAGAGATGGTCTAATGGTTAAAAGCACTTAATACTCTTGCAGGGGCTAACAACACATGGTGGTTAACAACTATCTATAACTTGAGTTCCAAGGGACCTGACACTCTCTTGTTTTCACAGGTACCATATGCATGGTGATACACAAAAACACATGCAGGCAAACATACATACACATTTTTCGAAGGGAAGTAAAACTGGAAATAGTTTCAGTACTGAGTAGACCTTAGCTGCTTGTGTGGGCTGATGAAGGGCCTCAGTGGAGAGAATCTGTCAGATCTCCCGCTGAGCAAGAGTCAACTCACTAGGTGTATTCAGTATTGAGAAAATGTGGTACTAGCCATGACAATGGGTAGACTTTGTTCTTTTGAAAATATCCTGAAGGCCTTAAGCTAAGTGACATTGTTCCTGAAGCCATGTTCAACACTGTTTGTCTTCTCACTGCTCAGAAAAGCCAGTACAGGGGAAGCTATTTGAAAAGCCAGCAAACCAAAGAAAATGGAAACCCATCACCAGCAAAAGACCATCTTCACTCAACCAGCATTTCAATCCTCTTTTGTCCCTAGGTGAGGAAGTGGGGTGGTGAGATTTAGGTTCAGGAAGGATTAGAGACTAGAGACGTGTAGATATGACAGTCCAGTGGTCCAGAACAGAACACTGGGGAGTGTGGTTGGCAATCTGACGAAGATGCCTCGGCAAATCGTATATCTTATGTTCTCCAACCCGTGTCTTCAACCTTGGAGGGAGAGAGATGACAAAAGTTAGGAGTGGTCAGTCTGATACTGACTTCAGATAAACATTCTTTAAATGAATAACGTGTCTGTATATACATTAGCAGAAATCTGACCTAAAGGTGAGGCATCAGTTGTTTAGCTGAATGATTCCAGATCTAGTCATCTCTGAAGTACATCTTTGAACTACAAGAGGTCAAAGTGAGCATTTAGATTGTGAGAGCCAAAGTGACATCTTAAGTTTTAATTACTGTGCCCTAGAGGTTCGTGAAACAAAAATGTCTCTGATCTGC